AGAGAGAGAGAGAGAGAGAGAGAGTCAGAAGCGAGAATTATGTGATAAAAATACTTACGTGTTACTGTCAAATAAAAAGATATTTGGATAAAAACAAATTTTAGACAGTTTTAGGCCCCTTATGAAATACATAAAAAATTATCTTTTTTCTTTGATAAGTAACCTATTGTTTATTGACTGTCAAGGAAAAAATATAATTTTTGGCGTATTTTACAAGTGTACTAAAACTACAATGTTTTCATCCAAGTATCTTTTTATTTGACAGTAACACAAATATTTTCATCATATATGTATGAAATCTCGCTTCTGACGTCACAGTTCAACGTCGCAGGAGGGGGAAGTATTAAAAAGCATTTAGAAATCCATTGGATGTCGAGTGGATATTGTTGGGATCGATTTTATTGTATATAATTACGTCTTTAGGATGTCCTTACCCAGTGAGAAATGATTCGTCGATCGATGTCGAAACGATGTCGAATCGACGTCAATTTGACGGTAACGATGTCGATTCGACATCGTTTCGACATCAATCGACGAATCATTTCTCACTGGGTAGGATGTCCGGGTTTGGATCGCGTATAGAGATCTTATAAGCGGACATAGGGACGTCCTCAGTATATCCTTAGTATATTCTACCGATTTTCACGGATATACCCGGGATGTTTGAAAATCCCTTTAGATATATCCGGTGGACATACTTGGGATCAACTTTTGCTGTGTGGGGTATTACTGATCCCTGACAAATCCAGTGGATATTCCATGGACGTCCAAAGGACATGATGGATATACTCGGCGTACATATACAGTCTTTAATGGACGTGAAATGGACATGATAAAAGGGATCATATACAGGATTGTAAATATTAATATAAATAATATAAACAGTGAAATGTCGGATTGACATATACATGCATACAAAGATGCTACGAAACGGATTCTGTTAATCTGTAGACAATGTAAATGTCCACTATGAGTTCCACAAGTTCTGCGACAACGCTGTTGCAAAAAAAAACAAATGAGGATGAGAATATCTCATAAATGCATGTGCTTTAAAATGCTGAGACTCGATCATGAATCTCTTCTTTTAGCGTAAACTCTTTAGAAATGTTGCATAGACATGTCCGCAAACAAGTTTAATAATATTTTTAGCACTTCAATTTTTATATTCAATTGCACACAACAACAGCAATTCAATATTCAAGGGAAAGATTCATGATATATTAATATCCTCGATGTGAGAATTTACCCAGACAGTACCTGATATCCCATGGATATCCGTTTCGTGTCCATTTCATGTCGGAATATCCGTGGACTTTATAAAACATCCATAAGATATCCAATGTCCATTTGTGGACACACTTTGAATATCTCAAAATGGGCATGTTTGAATGTACTCATAGTTCAGAAATTCGACTATTAATGGATGTGTCTCTATACGCCATATATTGTATACGTCATTTCCAATAGCGCCGTGGACATAGGAATAGCGCTGAATATAATATTATATTCTTATATTTCTTAAGCGACTTTGTAAATGCATATTATAACCTGAAAACCTTGTGAAACGGTTTTCTCATTAAGTACAATAGAAATACTAAAAATATTATTAAAATTGTTTGTGCACTTATCTTTACAAACTATATATTGCGTTATTTTATATTAATATTGCAAATAAACGAAAGATTACCTTAGATTACAGGTGCAATTTCACGTGCTGCTGAAATAAGCAAGTGGAGCGACAAATCTGTCACTCTTATTTCAGCGGCAAAAATTTTGTAGTTTGAACAGTTTCAACCACAAAGTTAACGCTCAAACGTTGTACTATGTAATGTGGCAGCACTGTAATAGTGCGACGTATGTACTACCGCAGTACATCGCCGACGATGGCAAACTTCGTCCTGTGTTCCACAGTAATAGCATTCTTTTCATAGCAATCAATCATAGCAATTGCAACAACTGCATCATTTTCAAATTCGACTTTACGTTCATAAATGAATTTGTTACAATTTAGTAACCAATTGTAATATTTTTTGAAGCCATAACTCGGAATTATTCTGACTTTCCTAGAAAACACAATAGAAATATAGAAAATAATTGAATAGAAATAGAGAAAATAATTGAATAATTCTGATAAAAATTCATTCCAAACAGTTTCATAATACGCACCTTGGTAAGTACGTTTGAGGTCCTGTCGCTTGAATGTTAGAACTGTCTTTTAAACACAGATTTGTTGCTTCTTGCTATTTTTCATGTGCCATAGTTGCTGCTGTAACAATTCTGCGATAAAAGTAATCACGTGACCCTTTTTGTCGCTGAAACGGCCGGTTCGAGCGACACGTGAAAATGCACCTTAAAATCGCGTGATGCTGGTATTATCACATGGACCTAAGAATCTCTGGACCGAGCACGAAGTGGGAGAACGGGCAAGGGGGCTGGCAAATTTGCGGTAAGGGGGGGCGAGAGTGCTCTCCTTTTCTGTCCTCTTGGTATCTCATGGTATCTCTTTCTACAAGAGGTGAATGTGACCTCTTGTAGAAAGAGATACCAAGAGGGACAGAAAAGGAGAGCACTCTCGCCCCCCTTACCGCAAATTTACCAGCCCCCTCGCCGTATGCTCGGTCCAGAGATTCTTAGGTCCATGTATTATCACCTATCATCACCATGAAACGAACAGGAAAGAGAGCGACATCAGCGCTATTCCTATGTCCACGGCGCTATTGGAAATGACGTATACAATATGGCGTATAGAGACACATCCATTAATGGTCCAATTTCTGAACTATGAGTACATTCAAACATGCCCATTTTGAGATATTCAAAGTGTGTCCGCAAATGCATGGACATCTTATGGATGTTTTATAAAGTCCACGGATATTCCGACATGAAATGGACACGAAACGGATATCCATGGGATATCAGGTGCTGTCTGGGAAAGAGAATCAAGAAGAGACCTCTAGGTTGTGTGTGTGTGTGTGTGTGTGTGTGTGTGTGTGTGTGTGTGTGTGTCTCATGTGTGTCATTTTAAGTTATGATTATTTTTTTTAATTTTGTGAGAACATCGAATAAAACCGGAAAAAATGAAACAGAATTAGAATTACAAAATCGTAGAAAACAGAAATTTATTTCTGTTTTAAGCAATTTGTAAATCTGAATTCTATTGCATCTTTTCCAGTTTTGTTCAACTTCTTCTACTATAAAATAAAAAGTAATACAATTTTACAGAATTAAAATTTAATAAAATTTTAACATTTTTTATAAAATTTTGTTACATTCGAAACTCTTTATAACAGAATTAAACGTTAATAATTAGAATAGAACATCTTAGTTTAATTATAATTTCAGAGTGTCTGTACTTCTTATGGTTATTAAAGAATTTATAAGGAAAGAGTAATTGTGAACACATTAATACAATCATATGTAGTATGAAATCAAATATGTAGTATGATATACGATATTAAATTATTACTTGCATTTATGATTGCAATTATTACTTGCAATTATTACTAGTATCACACATTGAACAAAATATGTATGTATGTATATATATTTACAGCTTTCCCCATGGGGATTCGCTCTCTTACATGGCGCTTTTACTAGGAGCGTACCCGAACCTTTCACAAATTTCCTTTACCTATAACTCATAATTGGCGCTTTTCCAGGGAGCGTTCCCGAACCTTTTACAAAGTTCCTTTCCCACCGCGACCTGGCCATAGGCGACCTATACATACTTTTCCCTCCCTCCCCTCGGCCCACCCCTCCTGCCTCTCCTCCCACCCTTCCCGTTCCGTTGCCTCTCCCACTCCCTATCTTTTCTTCCTTCTCCTTCTTCTCTCACGTTCTCCCTCCCCCTCGACCTCCCTCCCCC